GCGTAGGGATTCATGGGGGAGGGTCCGCGGGCGCCGTACATGTACTGCTGCGCATGGGCTGCTGCGGCCGCCACTGCTGCCATGTCATAGCCCCCTGACGGGCGCTGCGTGGGGGAGGTGTTGGAGCGGATGAGAGGCACAACCGCGCTGCCCATGCCTGGACCACCACTGGGGCTGCCTGAACCCCCTCCCTCCCCACCTCCTCCACCTGCCCTTCCACCAGGTACTGTTGCTTGCGCTGCATATCCCCCCCCCAGGTGTGACGAGCTGCGATTGCCCACTCCTCCCCCTCCCCCTTCGCCCCCCCCAGCAGCGGCGGCGGCGGCGGCGTCCATGGCGGCGCGCGCCTCCATCTGCAGGCGAGCCTCGAGGCCGAACCTCAGCGGCAGGCTGTGCTGGCGGAACTCCAGGGGATTGCCAGCGCCGCTGGTGGGCGTGCCCACAGGGGTGCCCACCTCGCTGGCCGCCTCATCGTAGTCGGGCGCCGCCAGCTCTGACAGCTGCAGGTTGAAATCCAGCAGCCGCTCGCACCCGCCCATGGGGCCCACGCCCCCCTTCCCCACCTGCTGCGGTGCTGCCCCGGGGGTGGTGCTGGTGCTGCTGGTGGCGGGTGACGTGGCAGGCTGGGTGGCGAGGTGGTGCGCATGCAGCACATCGTTGATGCGTGAGCGCACGGACGTGGCCACGCCCTCCAGCACGCGCGAGTAGCTCTCCAGCACCGCCTTGCCCACGTCCTGCCACCGGCGCACGTGCGGACAGGGACACACATGCCATGGGATGCAGGGGGGTGTGGAGAGGGTGAGCGAGGCGTGCAGCCATGAGCTGTAAACCCGGTCGCTTCGCCTCAGAGGAACCCTGCAGCATGCACACCCGCATTGCCCCCCTGCTGCACTCCACGCGCGTTGGGCTTAGAGAAGTCTCAATCCAGCTCACCTGCACGCGCGCACCCAGCACGCACCGAGTTATAGAGGATCTTGGAGGTGTCGAGCGTGGTCTGCGGCAGCGCGGGGCAGCGGTCCTTGATGCTGCGCAGACACGCCTCCGCACGGCTCGCGTACTCCTCAAACTTGGACAGGTCGCGCGCCGACGGGCCTGACGAGTAGTGCGCGCTGAACGAATGCGACAGCTGGGGGGCTCTGGCAGGGGAAGCAGGGGTGGCAGGGGGAGGGATGGTGGTTATGGACAGGTTATAGCGGTGCCAAGAGAATGGGAGCAAAAAAGCACCGCACTAGTGGCCTTGTACTTCTCCCCTCCTCCCCCTCACTCCCTCTCCAACCTCCATCCCTCCCCTTTCCTCTCCTCTCTGCCCCATTCGCCCCCTTCCCTCGCCCCCAGAAGTGACTGATGTTCGGAACTGATTTACAATGTAGCGGTCTTACTCAGGTAAAGTGCCTCACCACAAAAAATTATCGTGCCATCTAGGGGAAGGGGACGAGGGTGGAAGGGTGAGAAGGGAGCGTTGGCCTGTAGTGAAACTACCCCTGCAGTTACTCGTATTGCTCCAGAATGGACCCTCTTGTGCTTGAATACGACCAAATAAACAAAACTCAGCCTTACAAACTCCAGATTCGGGCCAGGAGTTAACTTTCACTGTATTTGATTTCATGTGACTGCCCCCCCCCTTATGCATTCCCCCCCCATGCATCCCCCCCTATGCATCCCCCCCCCATGCATTTCCCCCCCATGCATCCCTCACCATGCATTCCCCCCCATGCATCCCCCCCCCCATGCATTTTTTTTATGCATCTCCCCCATGCATCCCCCCCCCCCCCAAAAATGCATCCTCCCCCCCTATGCATCCTCCCCCATGCATCCCCCCCCATGCATCCCCTCCCCCATGCATCTCCCCCCCCTATGCATCCCTCACCATGCATCCCCCCCCATGCATCCCCCCCATGCATCCCCCCCCATGGATCTCCCCCATGCAACCCCCGCCCCCATGCATCCTCCCTCCCTATGCATCCTCCCCCATGCATCCCCCCCCATGCATCCCCTCCCCTATGCATCCCCCACCCTATGCATCCCCCCGCCTATGCATCCCCCCCCCATCCATGCATCCCCCCCTATGCACCCTCCCCTATGCATCCCCCCCTATGCATCTCCCCCATGCATCCCCCCCCCCCCCCAAATGCATCCTCCCCCCCTATGCATCCTCCCCCATGCATCACCCCCCATGCATCCCCTCCCCCATGCATCTCCCCCCCCTATGCATCCCTCACCATGCATCCCCCCCCATGCATCCCCCCATGCATCCCCCCCCATGGATCTCCCCCATGCAACCCCCGCCCCCATGCATCCTCCCTCCCTATGCATCCTCCCCCATGCATCCCCCCCATGCATCCCCTCCCCTATGCATCCCCCACCCTATGCATCCCCCCGCCTATGCATCCCCCCGCCTATGCATCCCCCCCCCCCATGCATCCCTCCCCCTACGCATCCCCCCCCATCCATGCATCCCCCCCTATGCACCCCCCCTTATGCATCTCCCCCATGCATCCCCCTAATGCATCCACCCCCATGCATCTCCCCCCCCATGCTTCCCCCCCATGCATTCCCCCCTATGCATCCCCCATGCATCCCCCCCATGCATCCCCCCCCATGTATCCCCCCCTATGCATCCCCCCCTATGCATCCCCCCCTATGCATTCCCCCCTATGCATTCCCCCCCATGCATCCCCCCCATGCATGCCCCCCCATGCATCCCCCCCATGCATTCCCCCCCATGCATCCCCCCCCATGCATCCCCTCCCCTATGCATCCCTCCCCCCCTCTATGCATCCCCCCCTATGCATCCCCCCTTATGATTCCCCCCCATGCATTCCCCCCTATGCATCCCCCCATGCATCCCCCCCATGCATCCCCCCCCATGTATCCCCCCCTATGCATCCCCCCCTATGCATCCCCCCCTATGCATTCCCCCCTATGCATTCCCCCCCATGCATCCCCCCCATGCATGCCCCCCCATGCATCCCCTCCCCTATGCATCCCTCCCCCCTCTATGCATCCCCCCCTATGCATCCCCCCTTATGATCCCCCCCCATGCATTCCCCCCCATGCATCCCCCCCATGCATCCCCCCTTGTGCACCCGTTAACACCTCGTTCTCTTCCTTCTCTCTTGCCCTCTTTCCCCTGAGTCCGCCTCACCTGGCGGTCTGAGTGGCGCGGCGCCAGTGGAAGCAGGCGGCTTCGAGGCGGCAGGCGAGTTTGAGCGCGGCGTGTTCGTCTGTGAGGTCGACGGTGTCCAGCACGCGCTCCACGCTGAACGCCGTGCCCACGATCACCGCATACAGCTGGTCGCCCAGCGCTGCCCGTCCCGACTGGGGGGGGGAAGGGGGGGGATGCATAGGGGAGGCATGGAGAGGAGGGGCGGAGGGCGTGAATGCGGGGGCCAGACTGGATGGCGGGTTCAGTGCGCCTGTGGCGCACTCACCTCGTCGCCCCTACCCTGCTATCCAGCCCCGCTCGTTGTGCGCGCACAGCGGGCGAGCAGCGCACCGCGTGCGAGTGCAGGGCGCGGTCACCTTGGGCAGCTTGTCGGTGTAGGCGGCCGGCACGGCCATGTCTTCGAGCGCCTGCGTGTTGATGGCCATGGCGAGCTTGACCACCTGGTTGGCTTTCTCCATGGCCACCTCCAGGTGCCGCCGCAGCTCCTCGCTCAGCCCGCACGCCGCCACGCGCGGCACCGGCCGCCACCACCGCCCCGTCTTCGACTCCTTCATAACGCCGCCACCCCCCCCGCTCGCGCCCGACCCATTCTTGTTCCCGCCCCCTCCTCCGCTCCCCCCTGCGCTTTCCCCACCCCCAGAGCTGGTTCCCCCAAAGCTGGCCTGTCTGCGTGTGGCCCCGCCCTTGGCCTTGCTGCTGTGGCCGAACGACTCCGAGCGCGTCCTGTGGTGGTCCCTGTCCTTGCCGCCGCCCTCGCCCTCCCCCACGCTGCACTCCGCGCACGTGCACCCCTCCCCGTGCCCGCTGCTGCGCCGCCTCTCCACCGCGCCATTGAGGGACGGGTCAGGCTTGGCGCGGTGCGGCGTGGGGGGCTTTTCGTTAGGGTAGGTGTACTCGGTGGAGGTGCAGTCGTCGAGCATCTCGAGCAGCATGTCGTCCAGCTTCTTGAGCGCCGGCAGCTGCTGCTTCATGTCGTCGCGCTGCTTCGCCACCATCACCTGCCGCGCCCCAAACACGCATGCATGGCACGGGAAGGCCGGAGAGACGCGTGAGATGCAGGAAAAACGACGTCGGGAAACGGCGAGAGGGGAAGGAGGGGTAGGGGACAAGCTAGAGGAGTAGGGGGAGGGGGAGGGGGAAGGAACGGATAGGGAGATAGGGAGGCGGAGGGCAGAGAATATGCTGAGGACACGAGCGTGGACGCAAGGCAGACGTGGTGCGGGCAGGGCAAGGCGCAGGGCAAGGCGCAGGGCGGGCGCACCTCTTGCGATGAGCCGTCGGGCATGGTCTGGGTGTGCGGCACGAGCTCGACGATGTGCTGGCACACGGACAGCATCGTCCCCATCTCCATGCGCCACCGCCGCTTGCAGTCCGCCGACAGCGGCCGCAGCCGCAGCCCCTCGCCGAACAGCGACACTGCGCGCGGGGACACGGGGCAGAGAAGCGGGGGAGGGGGGAGAGGGAGAAGAGCGCCAAGGGGGACGAGAGGGCCGGGGAGGGGGAGAAGTGGGGGGGAGGAAATGCGGGTGCGAGAGCAGCTTCGGAGGAGCGAGCGCACAACGAGACATGAAGATAAGGCACATGGCGGCCACAGGCGGGCGAGGGCGGTGCGCTGGAGCGAGGGAGCACGGGCGGCGCGCATGGACATTGGCGGCAGCAAGAGCACAGCGGCGTGCAAGGGAGCCCGCGAGCTGTGCGGGGCAGCGACGGACCTGAGAGGTTGGTGATGGCGTTGGACATGGCGAGCGCCGGACACACGCCCTTGGAGCCGCCCGACATGTCCTCGCCCAGTAACAGCTTCGCGAAGCGCTCCCGCATCATGCGCACCTCTGCGCGCGCCCACCCCCCCCACACACCCCCGCACACACCCCCGCATACACCCCCGCACACACCCCCGCACACATCCCCGCACACTCCCCCGCACACCCACAGACATACCGGCACACACACACCCACACACCCGCACACGCGGCAGCAGCACAGGGACTAAGAAGCGTTACTACCGAGGGCACGGCGAGGCGAGAGGAGGGAGGGGCGTGGGGCGTGGGACGTGAGGGAGGCAGCGGGGCATGCGAGGAGTTGACAGAGTGAACGGATGTACCCGTCGACGACGAGCGGGAAGACAGCACGCATTCGCGACGGGGGGGGCGACATGAACGTGCCGGGCGGAGGAGTAGGTGGAAGAATGGAAGGACATTTACGCATTACGCGCCGATTTTGGCGTTCAGTTGTTGCCATTTCACGATATGACTCCCTGACAGGTTGCCTCAATAATGTCCGTCGTGGAAGCCGCCTCCCCCCCGCGATCACTCACACGTTGCCACGTCATGCCGGCCACCTTCTTCCTCGTTCCTCACGGCGCGGCCCGCACCGCGTCTCCCTAAGCCCTCGCCATGGCCCTCACCTTGAGCGTCCACCGGATCGTGCGAAGCCGCATCGCTGCCACCGCCTATCCGTCCCCCGCACTGCGAGCACCGCGACTTGCCGCGTCCCGCCACTGCCGCCGCGAATGCCGTTGGCGACGAGGGCTCGGGGTCGGGCCCTCCATCGTCCTCCGCCACGCTCGGCATGCCTTCCTCCTGCTGCCGCCGCCGCTGCAGCTGCTACAGCTTTAAAACTTTTCCCTGGTTCGCAGGTGCAAGCGTTTAAAGTGATTTCGCCAGCATGAGCTTCCGAGACACGTGCGCCACGCCTGATGACATAAAGTTTAGGATATCCCTCCAGTGCTAAGTGGAAACAGTGAAGTGTCGGTGTTGGTTGGCCTTGGTCCTGAACTACCTGGTCGAGCCTGCTGGTTTACCGCTCTTCGCAGTGGTGTTGGGCGTTTCTGGTCGGTTTGGGGGTATTAGCGAGGATTTGAGCTGCGCCACTGCTGCTGGGGGGAGACGGGGCTGCGCCTGCTGGATGGTGCGCCGCGCGGATGACCGGGGATATGTTTGGTAGGAGGGAGGCAGATATGGGGGGATGAACTGGGTTTCCCCGGGTTTTGGTGGCAGCGGAGTGCACGGGGCAGTTGAGCAATGCCTAGGCTAGGATGTGATGCGTGGAAATTGCACTTACTGATTCATTGCAAAAAAAAAAAAAAAAACTACCTTTCTTGAAAAGGCTTTGAAAGGGTTTATAAAGCCATCCTTCATTCAGCCTGGCCTCGCTAAAATACTATTGTGGAGGGAAAGCAGCCTGGTGGAAAATGAGTTCACATGCTATCAATAGCACATAACAGGTTTCAAACTATGAAACTCAAAAAGTTTGGTACAAACAGGGCAGGGAGTTCGGGATCACAACTAGGCCGAGGACGCGCTCCGCGCGCGGGACATGCCTCGAGGCTTACCCTCGTGGCATAAGTTCAGGGCTTCAGAGTATAACGTCAGGGCAACGACGGGTGAGGGGCTACAGTGTTTGGTGGTTTGAAGGAGTTTTATTGGTTGCGACTTGCGTCTTCCAAATGCTCAATGGTTGGGGTTAACGTTTACCGTCACAGTTCACTTCTTTCCGTCTTCCAACTTCAGGGCTTCTGAGTCCGCCTCGAGGTTCGCCCTGAGAGCGGAGCACTCCCTGAGGGTTCAGGTACTGCACAGTACTGCCAGCGTGCTGCTGTGCAGTGCTGCTGTGCTGCTGCTGGGGCCCAGGGCACTTCAAGAGAAATTATGCCAGCAGGTCTGACAAGAGCCATGACGAAACAAAACAGCAGAACTTCATGCCCCGCAGGAATGAGCCGAGGCGCAGAGGTAGCGAAAACGTAACGGACGGAAGGCTGAAGTGTGTCGAACGACGTGTGGGACCTTGCGATTGGCTGAGCCCGAATGACAAGCGCGCTGAACACAATTCAGCGCCTTCAAAGAGCAGGGCTTTGAGACACGGTGAACCACGACGTTCGATTGATAGTAGAAGCTCAATCGCCAAGTCTAGTGTACATTCCCAACAATGTTTCACCAATTGCGAACTAACAATTGGTGAAACTAACAATCGGTGTACATTCCTCCACGCTGTAGAAGTGAAAGTACCCAACACAATCAGCAATCCAGCTTGACGATTTTGTAGAGCAGAAAGCAGGACATCTTGTCCAGTCATATCCATTAGGTCAACTCCAAAACAACTGACACGGTTTCTAGGACAACAGTCAGTCCAAAAGCTAAAGACCCAGCCTCCCTTTACTCCAGTATATCCTGCACCTGCAACTGACATCTCCCATACCCTAAGGACAAGACCACAGAAACCTGGAAGCAACGACACAGCACAGCAAGAGGAGCAGAGTGGCATGAAGACCACCGCCCTCCAGACACTTGTGCATCTGATAGTGCTGCAACAGCACTGGACAGGTAGTCCTCCGCACTTGCCACATACGCATTGCAGAGAACCATCAACACGCCACAGCCCAGCAACAGAGCATCTGATCGCCATGGATACCCATTTTCTTTTTGTCCACCACTGCTCCCCCTTGCACATTTTTGTTCCTCACCCTGTAACAACCCCTTCCGCACATTGGACTCGGCCCTTCTTGGCTTGTTGCTCTCGTTTTTCGTTTGTCGATCGCAGAGTCCGGTTACTGATTACCAAGCCCCACAACCCAACCTCTCCCTGGTCCAGTTGCAACCTGCATTAAGGTCCACAGCACCTTGCTCCATCACCCAGCACCACGCTGTCCGCTCTCCTCACCCACAACATCCATTTTTTCTCTCCGACAGCAGCCAATAGGGGACGACCTTCCACCAGCAACAGAACACCCATGTGCTCCTTACAGCTTCCTCCCCCAGCACACAGTTTGCCCTCCACACTGAGCACACCCTCCAACACTATCTTCACGCACCAAGCACCTCTCCCCTTGTTTCGGCTGCCACAGCAATTCCCTCCTTGTCTCGACCCCTCCATGTGCCTTCTCTCCCCCCCAACTTTCACCACCCTGGCAGAGGCGTGAGCAGTGAAGTGATGGTGTGAGTCAACAGTCGGTGCAGTCAGCCTGTACCGAGGCCATGCTCAACGAGCCTGCCTTGCTGTCACAACCAGCTTGTCCGTCAACACGCTGCAGTTCGCCAAACCCACTCCTGTCTGCAGGCGTCCCTCGCCTGGACCTGGTGCAGACTTTGCCATCACCGCTCATTCTCGTGCTCAAACACAGCCCCGTGAGGCCGCAGCAGCTGCAACAGCCGTGGAGCGTACATCAGACCCAGTGATCACCTGCTTCCTCCGTCTCTCCTCGTGGCCCGCACGAGAAGCCACGTCTAAACAAAACCGGCGAATGACTGTGACGGGAAGGGCGCTGGAATAACAGCGAAGGCAGCGCATAAAAGGGGCACATACTAGCAACAGTACATGACGGACAGAAAAACAAAACCGGGAAAGACGTGAAAACACCTTCTTCCTTGCCAAGCTGCCTATGTCTCCATCCGTCGGCAGCAGCGCTAATGCTGTCAGAACAAGGACCAAGTCCTAATGCTGCCTGTGCCTCTTCAGCCAGCTCTTGCCTCGTCCTCTCCAGTCTTCTCACCTCTGTACGCGCTACTCAAGTGCTCACACGACCCAGAGCAATCCAGCGCGATGAGGCAACAAGCCAAGCACGCGGTCAGATCACATCACATCACACCGCATCACTATCGCATGCCATCATATCACATCCCATCCCTTCAAATCACATCACATCACGGGTACAAACAGCCCCCCAACGCCCCCTCCTCCCGCCCGCCCCATCCATGCCGTGGCCATGCCCGGCCTGCCGCCCTTGGCGCCTCTCGAGAACAACCGGTACTCGCTCTCCCCGCCGCCCGCCGCGTGGGTGAGAGGGCAAGCGCTGCTGGCGTCGACTGGCAGTGCTTCGTTGGCAGTGGCGCTCCCTCGGAGCAGCACAGGGAAGTGGAAGAGCGAGAAGTGGCCGGACGAGCGGCGGTCGTGCAGGGGCGGAGGCTCGTGGTGGGTGCATGGGATGCTCTGCTGACACGGCACGCGAGGGACAGTGTTCCGAGAGACGCCTCCGACGGTTGCAGGGCGCTCACCCGCACCCCACCCACTCGCACGGCCTCGTGCCTCCCTGCAGACCCACGCCTTGGGGTCGCCAAACCCGTCAATCGACGCAGGACCTGCCATACTTCCATCAACCGCCGCAGCCGTAACGCCGCTACGCAGTCGCTGCTGCGATGGCTGGCGAGTCAGCGGGTGAGCGTCCTCTGGAATAAGAACCTCCGCAACCCGACAAGGTGTGCTCGCCACAGCGGCTTTCTCGACGCTCGCCTCGTCCGACATCCCAACGTCGCTGGTTTCATCGCCCTCGCTGATGACGTGCACGTCGCCAAGTTGGCGCCAGCTATGGTTGGCGAGGTCGTACAGGGCCTCCTTATAGTCCGGCCGCACTGGAGGGTTCGACGACGCCTGAGCGGCAGCCATGGGCGACTCAGCGGCCCAGTACGCGTCTTCCTCCCTCTCGTAGTCCGCTGCGTGCTTCACGCGCGGAGCGCACGAGGTCATGTGGCTCAGGTCCACTCCCTTGAGCACCACGTCCTTCCCCTCCACGCGCCGATCGTCATCCCGCTGCCACGGACCGCGTAACGTCACAGCGGGGTCAGAGGCTGTGCTCGGACTCATTCTCGCCACTGGCTACACAGCCGAGCGACTACTGAACAGGATAGCGAAGCAAATGCTCAGCCTGACGGTACGCTTGCTTGCTCGGCTCTTGCAAAATCTAAATCGATCGTCCGTTGAAATGCTTGTAGATTCCTGATCTGATAGAAAGGCAAGACCAGCCACATCAGGTGCGATCTGACTTGGTCAGTAAGACTGGCCTCCACTTAGTAGAGGAGCGGACATCGACCGCGTGGGGTTGGTTTGGTATAGAGAGAACTAATCAGGCTGGTGAAGCGCTCTGGGACGAGATCGGTAGAGACAGACAACCAGACGGAAGGTTGGATCAAAGATCGAAGCCAGGTGATTCAAAATCATGAAGCTGGGAGTCAGAGTACCCGTGGAGGGTTTGAGAGATGGAAGGGCGATCAGTGGCAGTTGCCGCGTCTGGGTGTTCCCTTGTCTTGTGCCTCCAACCCAATCAACCCGCATCTTGAGCTGGTCCTGGATTAGAATTTCACAATTTGAAATTCCAAAGCCAAGCTGAATCGATGCCTGACAGATGGCAGGGTTGAATGACGAAGGCGCGAGAGCTGTGTGAGAGTCACGTCACACGTGCCTCTACTCTACTCGCGACCAGCGTGGCATCGCGGTAATCTCGTTCAAGCACCCAGCATTTGGCGACGGATGGATGGTCGCCTCTCCAGTAATTGGTTGGAGCCGCAGCTTTTCCAATTTCTTTGCAAGGAATTGCAGAATTCCAGATCAGGCTGATCAGGTTTGGGTCGGACACGTCAATCCGGTTGGTCACCCTGCGTTCTTCGCTGCGCGGTTGCGACAATAACCAGCCAGAGGTATACCCCGAGCGGAAATGCTACCAGCATCAAATTACAGAACGGCGTGTAGATTCTTCATTTATCTAGTTATCAGTAAGACATTTATCTTAGGTTTGGAAAAAAAACTTGGGCATCACTGGTCGTGAAGTGTAAGAAAATATTGAGAGCAGTAAATTATCAGTCATAAGGGGACGTCACTACCAATTAGACAGCAAAAAACATCATATTGGGAACTTGCGGAGCAAAATTAGGCGGTACATTCAAGATGGAAGGTAGTGCGTGCATGGACATGAACCAGGATAAGATGAGAGGCTGAACGGGGGGGTGGATGAAATGGATGAAAGAGGGAAGTGCAAGTGGGAGCAGAAACTGGTGTGTTGTGTATCATGCGCGGCTGCAGATGGTTGAGCAGAGTGTTAAGCCACGCAGTCACCTCAGATAGGACGAACACATTGGGCTGTAATACACTGCCTGAGTGTTGCTGAAGCTAGGTCCCTATTACCTCTCCTTGTGACTTCTGCTAACCTTTTCTCTGTCATGATTCTGCTCCTTCCCTCTCTCTAGCCTCTTGGCCTTGCTGTGGCTCTTCTCTTTGTCCTTGCCCTCCCTGTGCCTGTCTCTGTCTCTTTCCCCCTTTTCCCTATCCCGCTCACGCGTCCTGTCCTCCTTGTGCCTAGAACTCGCTCTCCCTATATCCCGGTCCCTCTCTTTCTCACTTTCTCTCTCCTTATCCCTGTCCCTATCTCTCTCCTTTTCCCTCTCCCTGTCTCTCTCCCTATCCCTGTCTCTGTCTCTCTCCTTATCCCTCTGTCGATTCCTCTCGCTCCCTCTTTCCTTATCACGGTTCCTTTCTCTCTCTTTATCTCTCGCTTTCTCCCTACCACCACTTCCCGCAAACTCTACTTTACCTTCACCTCCCAAACCTCTGCTTCGCGCCCTTTCATCCTCCTTATCACGTTGCCTTTCTCGCTCTCCTTCCCACTCTCCCTCTTGGTCCTTCTCCTTGCGTCTCTCCTTTGTTTTACCAGTGTCTCGATCCCTTGGTCTCTCCCTGTCTCTGTCCCTGTCTCTGTCTCTGTCCCTGTCCCTGTCCCTGTCCCTGTCCCTGTCTCTATCTCTGTCCCTGTCCCTAGTGACCTCGCGCTCCTGTTCAACATCCTTGCTTCGGCTCTGCTTCTCCCCTTCCTTCACCTTCTCCCTGTCCCTGCGTTTCTCCTTCCTCCCTGCCCCATCTCGCTCCCGGCTCCTCTCCCTGTCACTGCTTCTCTCCCTTTCCTTGTGCCTACGCCTCTCTTTGCTCCTCTCCCTGGTGCGCTCATGCCGCTCCCGCTCTCTCTCTCCTCCTCTGTCTCGGTTGCTATCCCTGTCTCTGTCCCTCTCCCTCTCCCTAGCCCGCTCCCTCCCATGCTCTTGGTCCCTGTCCGGTTCCAAGTACGCGTCTCTGCTCTTCGATCCTCGCTTCTCCTTGTGCCTGCTTGACTTGTCGCAGTGCTTGCTGCCCCGCTCCCGACTCTTGTCCCTGTGCTTGGACTTAGAATCATCACTCTCCCTCACCCTGACTCTTTCTCTCACATTTTCCTCCCTGCCCCCCTCCAGGTCTCCATTCCTCACTCGCTCTTTGTCTCTTGCCCCATCTCGAACCCAATCCCTCGGCCAAGCTCCTCCTCTTTCCCTGTCTCCATGCTTCTCCCTCTCTCTGTATCTACACCTCTCATCATCCCAATCTCTCTCACTTTCCCTCGCTCTCTCCCTGCTGCAACCCTTAGAGCGGTCCCTATCCCTCTCCCTCTCCTGCGGCCAGTGCGCACCCCCCCCTCCGTTCTCTTCACTCCTGGCACTCCACCCGTCTGAAGCATCTTCTTCCCCATAGCTATCCCCATCACTCACAGAAGCGCTCCTCTCTCTTGGCGCGTCCACCAGCACATCCTTGCTCACTCTCGCACCCCCGTCCCTCTCCTCCTCGTCCCTTCCCCACGCCCCCTCTGACCCCGACCTCGACTGCGTGTCATCGCTCCACTCACTGTAAGCTTCCTCCTGCCCCCCCTGCGCCTCCTCTTCATCACTTCCCTCCATGCTTTCCTCCCACTCACTCCCCGACCCCCTCTCATCCTCCCTCCTTCCATTGCCCTCACCGTCCCTCTCCTCACACTGGCCCCCACCCCTTTGCATGGGCAGCATGCCTTCGCGCCTCATCACGAGCGCTATGCCCTCCCCCATGCCATCGCCCGCCTCCATGGCGTCGTCCCCCACCCAGCTCACACACGGAGACTCCAGAGGCGACGCCGACCCACCAGACCCAGCTGACGTGTCCCGGCTCATGGCGCCATGGCCTGTGTTGAGGCTGATGGTGCGCGTTGCGTGCACCTCATTCTCCACTCTCAAGCGCCCCACCCCCCCTGCCCCCATCACCCGTGCTGCAGCCGTTGCAGCATCCTGTGACCTCTGGCGCAGCAGCTGCTTCCTCCTCTCCGACCTCACCCTCTCACCCCCACTACCTCCCACACCCAAGCTGCTGCTGGCTGTACTGGCGGTAGCAACAGACGACGACACCACCTCTCCTGTTCTCTGCAGCTCTCGCACTCCTCGTGTTTCCCGTCCCCTCCTCCCTCCCTTGTCCATCCGTTGCATCTCCCGCCTCCCTGCCACATCATTCCCTTCTCTTCCGTACATCCACGTGCCCTCCACACTCGAGCCACCTGCCACTCCTCTTTGCCCGTTCTCAAAGCTGTACTTGCGAGACAAGAAACCAGACGCCTCGCCTTCCCACTGCTGCCCATTACCATACCCTCCTGCAGCCCCTACCGAATACCCCTCGTCCTCATACTCGGCCACAGCAGCGCCAGGTGCATACATATCTCCTTCAGCCATGGCCTCGTGCTGCTGCATGCTGTGCGAGTGTGGCAAGGTGGACCGCACACCTCGCCCCATGTGTCCCGGCCCTTGCCCCCGATGGAGAGACCGGAGAGTGTCGGCATTTGCCACACCATAGCCCATGCCGTACCCATCCCCCTCGCCAGCGCCGCTGCCAGGCTCAGCTGGCAGGTGGTACAGCGCATGGCTGTAGTCATGGTGGTGGGGCGCAGGCAGGGGCGACAGCGGGAAGGCGCTGTCAGGCGCGGGGTACAGTGGGCGGCAGAAGGCCTGGTCGTCGGGGATGAGCCCCGTGCCCGACCCGTACGAGCCGTATGGCCCTGGCGCTGCACTGGCAGCTGCAAACGACGTGGGAGGGTTGTAGGGCAAGGCAAGAGTGATGCTGCCGGGTGCACGGTTAGCAGCAGAGAATGAGGGAGCGGCAGCAGCTGTGGCAGATGCGGTGCGATGGAGAGCGGAGCGCATGTGCCCCCCTGGCACCGCTGCTGCCCCACTGCCTGCAGGCAGCCCCACACCCCCCCCAAAGCTCACGCTGCTCTTGAAGCGTGGCTCGCCTCGGGGTGAGTTGGGAAAGGAGGGGGCCGTGGGGGCATGGCGAGACGGCATGGGGGAGTGGGGGTCAGGGTGGGAGGGAAAGGTGTGGGAGACGGGGGCCATGAGGTGGGGCGCGGAGGAGGGCAGGGGCGAGTGGTGGGGGGAGGGAAAGGGCTGCGATGGGTCGAAAGTGGCAGCATGGGAGGAAGGCACGGAGGTGAGTGGAGGGTGGGAGTAGAGGGAGGCTGGACTAGGGGAACGAGAGAGGGGAGATGTTGGACGGAAGGAGTGAGGATGGGTGAGTGGTGCGGCATGCGATTGGGGGGAGAGAGGGCAAGGCGAGACGGGGGCAGTGAGGTGCGAGTTGTGAGGCATGGCTTGTTGCCCCTGGGCCACGTTGTAGCCACTTCCAGAGCCCCATGACTTGCTGCCTGCCTGACTGCGACTGCTGCTGTTGCCGCTGAAACTGCTGCTACTCGTGCTGCTCCCTGTGGTGCTGTTGCCGCTGCAAGTGCTACTAGTGCTGCTACTGCTGCTGATCGCCCCCCCTGCCCCGCCACCCCCGGCGCCTCCACTGTTCCAGTTGGGCGCAAAGCCGTTAGCGGCAATGGTGCCGCTCAGCGACTTGGCGTGGGGCAGAGGGGAGCGCGGGGGGAGCGTGAGGGGCTCCGTGGAGGACGGGGGGAAGCGCGCTCTGGCAGCACCCCATGTGGGCGTGGCGGCAGGAGAGAAGGGTTGGCCTGGGTCGAATCGCGGCGACCGCATGCGCTCCTCGCTCTCACTCACCACATCACCCTCCTCTGCCTCCCCTGCCCCCGCTGCTGCTGCTGCTGCTGCTGCTGCTGCTGCTACAGCACGAGCGGCACCTCCAGCAATGGCCCACCTCCCCTTGCCCATGGCAGCAGCAGCAGCAGCAGCAGCATGCAAGTGCGGCGAGGGCTGAGGTGTGATGGCCTGCCGCGCTGCTGCCGCTGCTGCTGGTGAGGGTGAGAGGCCTGAGGCATAGGAGGCGCGCAGGGCGTGGGTGGAGAGAGAGCGCAGCGCCACTCGCTGCGCAGGACTGGGGGCTGATGGGGTGCCGCTGCCACCTGGCGCACCCGGCGCCCCCCTGAATGAGGAGTGCTGCAAGGAGCGGCGCCTTGCCACCCCCTGGCCATCGTCGGCACCTGCAAGTGCTGCAGCCCCAAGCGCAGAGTGCCCGCCTGCCATGGCATCACCGCTGTCCCACAGCCCTTGCGGTGCCATGGCAGGAGTGGCGTTAGGGGCAGACGCATAGAGGGGCAGGGAGACAAGGCGGCGCCAAGAGGCAACAGATGAGCTGCCTGCTGCTACAGGGTCTGCCATGCCCTGTGCCATTGCTGCTGCTGCTGCTGTGGGCGCGGCTTCATGAGGTGGCTGCACTTCTTGCTCCCGCTCCTCCTTGACTCGCATCCTCTCCTTCTCCTCCCATTCCCACGCCTCCATCTGCCCTTCCTCCTCACTCTCTCGCGCACCATCCACCACCTTGTCCTGCCGCTCCTCACCACCATCCCTCGTCTCACCCTCCTCACCACTCACTGCGCCTGAATCACTCCCTTCCTGCACTCTCACCCCGCCCTGCTCCTGCTGCTGCTCCTTGGACTCACTACTCTCACAACCCTCCAAATCTGCACTAATCTCTATACCCCTTTCCGCGCCCTTGTTAGCTTGCTCAATCTCCCCACCTGCCGTCTCCTTTTCTCTCTCCTTCGCCTTTCCCTTTTCCTTCTCCCACACCCGCGCCTCCCTGCCCCCTCCGCCCTTGCTGCCAGGCGTGCCTCCCAGCCCACTGAGGGCGGCCACGCCGTCCAGGTCGCTCAGGGCGGACAGCAGCTCGCCCATCGTCTTCCTGCCCGCCCTCCTGCCCGCACCATCGCCCCCGCCACCAGCGCCAGCAGCAGCAGTGGGCCCGGCCCTGTCAGCGTCCGGTCCGCCTCTCATGAGCCCCACCACCTCCGACCGATGCCGCAACAACCGCCCGCCGCCGCTGCTGCTCGCACCCACGCCACCACCCCCACCCCCCGATGCCCCCCCTCCCATACCCAGCCCTCTCGCACTGCCTGCTGCTGAGCCTGCCCCGGCTGCTGCTGCCACCCCAGCAACAGCATCAGGTGCCGCGGTGGCAGGCACAGGAGAGGGCGTGGCAGCGAGAGTGGTGGACCCCACGTCTGTCTTGGCGCGCGCCATAGGCGGAGGCAGTGGGGCGCGCGCACTGCCACTGCGACCGCTGGCCAGCCGCCCATCCACTTCGCCTGCCTTGCCGCCCGCCTTGCCCTTGGCCGCCACATCCTCTGCACTGGACACGCGCGGCACACCTGGCCTGGGCTGCCCTACTGCTCCAGACGGCGCTGCGGTGTCGGGCGGTGCCGCCAGGTGCACCTCCACAGTCGCCAGCAGCTGCATCAGCTCCTCCTTCTCCACCCGCCGGCTGCCCTCCCGCTCCACTCGCCATGCCTCCCTGCTCGCCTCCCGCCTGCCATCCCGCACCGTGCCATGGGCAAGCGGGCTGTGCAGTGCAGGCGTAGGCTTGGGGCTCCTCTCAGGCCTGCCCTCGCCCACACCCTCACCCACCTTGCTGTGCCCCGCGTCCACGTCCTTATCCCCATCTGTCTCCACATCCTCGTCTGCCACCCTCCCTGCATCGCCCTCCTCATCCACGCCCCCTTCCTCCTCGTCCTCTCGCTCAAACCGTCTGCTCAGCGTCCTCCTGCCCCGCAGCAGGCCGCCAGCGCCCGCAGGCAGCCCCAGAGGGTCACAGTGAGGCCCCTTGGCGGAGCCCAAGAGTGCACTCACGTCTGACGACCGCGAGCGAGCAATGGAGGCGCTGCTGCCGCTACTGCCTGGCGCGGCTGCGCCCTTCTGTCTGGACGCGGCGGTGCTGCGCCTGCCCCTGCCCGCCGCCACCTCTGTGAGCATCTCCTCAAACACCAGCCGCGCCACGCTGCTGCGCTTCGTGATCCCCATGCCACCACCCCCGCCAGGGCCATCCCTGCCACCACTGCCGCCACTGCTGCCGGCCACAGCAGCAGTGGCAGCCCCTGCTCCCCCAGTGGTTGATGCGCGTGCGTCCGTGGCCTTGCCTTTCTTCTTGCCCGCTCGCCCCCGGCCCTTCATCTGCTGCTGCAGCAGCTCCATGAGCTCTGACTTCTCCCCCGCCCTGCTCCCACCCACCGCCCTTGCACCCTCGCCCATGCACGCCTCCTCCCGCCCGCCCAGCGCTGCCAGCACGCGGCTGCTGCTGCCATCCACAGCGCGCCTGCGCCTGCTGGCGCTGCTGCCAATGCTGCGACCACTGCTGCGCAACACAGCTGTCGCCAGCGCTGCTGCTGTGCTGCTGCCAGAACTGCCAGCGGCAACGACTGGAGATGCTGCTGTTGCTGCTGCTGATGCTGTTGCTGCTGCTGTTGCTGCTGTTGCTGCTGTTGCTGTTACTGTTGTTGCTGCTGCTGTTGCTGTTGCTGCTGATGTTGCTGCTGCTGTTGCTCTTACTATTGTTGCTGCTGCTGTTGGCGTCGCTGCTGCGGGGGAGGAGACATCAGGAGTGAGGGCGGCAGCATCTGGTGCAGAGCTGGGCTTGGAGGGCAGCGATGGAGGCGCGTTGGTGAGGCTGCCGCAGTGCTGCTGAAGCCAGCGGTGACCTGGGAGGTGACAGAACGTCGGGGATGGAGGGAAAGCGGTGATGAATGGTGGCATGAGAGAGGCAGGGCAAGACAGGGAGCATAGAGCAGAGGGTAGCAGCGGACAACTCACTGAGAGCCTTGGCGGGAGTGATGCGGTGGGCGGGGTCGAGAGTGAGCATCTGCGCCACCAGGTCCTTGGCGTCCGCCGACACGCCCTCCCACACGCCCGACGCCATGTCCACGCGGCCCGCCGCGATGGCCTGGAAGATGCCGTCCTCGGAGGGCGCCCAGAAGGGCGGCAGGCCCGAGAGCAGGATGAAGAGCACCACGCCCACGCTCCACATGTCCGCCTCCACGCCGTACCCGCCCGCCAGCACCTCGGGCGCGATGTAGAACGCGCTGCCCGCCATGCCCTCCAGCCGCTCGCCTGCCCGCACGGCGCACGGAGTGGCGCCCGGGGCGATTGGAAATGGGGGATGCACAGGGAGGGGAATAGAGAACGGTGGGTTGGAAGAAGTGAGTGGTGTCCCCAGCAAGTATTGCCACACAACCAATCCCAACCCACAACCCATCCCATGGCATCCCCTGACAGCCATGCGTGCGGCGCTGCCCACCTGGGGCGACGGGCGTGGCGAGGCCGAAGTCGGCGACCTTGACGTGGGTGTGGGAGTGCGGCGAGACGAGCAGGATGTTTTCGGGCTTGAGGTCGCGGTGCATGAGGCCCAGCGCGTTCAGGTGCTGCACCACGCGCAGCAGCGTGTGGCACACGGCAGCGGCGTCGCTCTCGGGGTAGCGGTGGCGCTGCAGGATGCGCTGGTACAGCTCGCCGCCCAGGCACACGTCCATGAGCAGGTGCACCCACTGCCGGTCCTCGAACGTGCCGCGCAGCTCCACTATGGCGCCGTGCCCGCGCACGGCGCGCATCACCGCCACCTCCCGCCGCACGTCGTGCACGTCGCCGTGGCCCTCGAGCTTCGCCTTGCAGATGGACTTGCACGCCACCGTCTCGCCCGTCGCGCGCTCCGTCGCCAGCCAGATCACGCCGTACTGCCCGCGCCCCAGCTCCGCGCCCATGTGGTAGCGGTCGAACACGTTCGCGTACGCCCCGCCCAACACCTGCCGCGTGTGCTCCGCCTCCTCCCGCTCCTCCGCCTCCTCATCGCTGTCCTCCGGATCCGATATATCCGGACTCGATAGCGCGGCCACCGCCTCCTCGGCGCGCGCCCTGTTGTGCTGCTGCAGCAGCGACTCCCCCGCCACGCCCTCGCCCGCTCCGCCGCTGCCACCCGCCCCCTGCTCGCTCTCCACCTCGCCTATGCGTCCCGCGCTACCAGCGCTCGCATCGCCGTCACTGCCGCTATCCCCGTGCCCGCCCGCACTGCCGAACGAGGCTGGGCTGGCAGCGGCGGCAGGCGGGGCGAGAGAGCGAGAGGCGACGGGCGATGACAAGGCGGCGAGGCGAGGCGACGACATGGCCATGGCGCCGGGTGCACCCACCTTTGCCCACTACCCGTCGCACTGCTGCAGCATCCCCGCGCGGCTCCCACTCACTTCCAAACTCGCTTCCCTACGGCCACCCCCCTGCTCCGCCCACTGGAGCCGCTCAGCTCACCTCACTGCGCCCCGCGCTCTCCTCCTCCCCACCGTACATGGCCCCGCTTCCTCCACCTTCCCGGACTTTCGTATCCGCACACGCGCTGCTTGGCCCCCGCCCCTTGCTGCCCCCCGCTTGCTCCCGCAACACGCTCTCCGCTCCTCACGCGCACAGGCATCCCGTGATGGGCAACGGCACGGACTTAGGGCACGGAGCGAAGTCGCAAGTGGCGCGCGGGACAGTAAGCGCAGGTGCCATCACTGCCGGAGAGATGCAAAGCTCCCTCAGGAAAAAGGCTTAAAGCTTTAGTCAATCACTCGTTAGCAGACAGTGGTTGGCAAGCGCACATCCCAAAACCACATTTAGACCGCTAACTCCAGACTTCAACCCTCGCAACTGTCGCACGTTGACTCCGAGATTAGCTACGCGCTAGCTGAGTATAAAAAACATGGACTGCCGAGTCACTGCCAACCAGGATAGCAAACTTGAGCCCACTATTCTAGCAGAGCAAGAACGCGAGACAGATTAGGGTTAGAGATTATATGTGTCTAGATTAGGGTTAGCGACGAAGCTCTGATGAGGTGACAGCTGAACTTGTGTCGCTGTTGGCGCTGTAGGCTACTCCTGTATATGCACCAGCCACCGCGCCTCAGGATGGATTCTGGCTCGTCTATGACACTAGTGTCAGATAAGAACACCCGAGGTGGGAAAAAATTGCCTCAGGTCTTACGACTCCCGACGGCTGCTTGACTGGAAACACACCGTTCGCAGACAAACCCACCGGACTAAAATGGCACAAGTGCATCGCCCGCAGATGTACACCTCCCAATTCGCTTTTACGACAACGCTGTGCTGTTTTCTGTACATCATCAACTCGTTTTGCGACTTTCTGCACCTCTGTAGGCGCACGAGCGTCAAAGTCAGTAGACCCGTGGTTGAGCCTCTAAACCCCACGGCTCCTTCGACCGCGGGTCAACCTCGGGTCAGACCCGAGGTGCAGAATCTTCTCTTACCCCTCCTGCCCTCCGTCTCCTGGTGCTGCTCCCCTCTCCCTTCCCTGCTCGGAGTCCTAAGCTATATACACCCCTGTTGCATGTGTGTACTGGTTACGACCTTTATAAAACCTTCAAACCTCCAAACCCTTCCCTGCTCGGCACTGCCAAGCTTCCCAACTGCAGCCACGTGTACTGTAGTGTTGTGTGCAGGCACCGAGGCTGGCACACTGGCTTGGAGTGGCGGGCGCCAAGGGCAGCATCGTGGCATGGCAAGTTTGATCCCCCAAAGAATTGAGCCACTCGAGCGAGGCCACGGGCTGGGCGACAACCACAGCGTACACAGCGAGAAGCTGCTGTTCCATCCAATTTAGGGCGTGTCCTAAGCGTTCACCGAACCGTGTTATAGAAGTATTTGATCTTTTTGAAACGCAATCCACCTCACTCAAACGCATTCAGACATACTCTTAGGACACGCCCTTAGTCAACACCGAATGTCAACGATGGCGTCGTGCGGTGCAGACTGGTTTCCAGGATACTTGTCGGTTTCGTGAGTTTTAGCGAGGTGGGAAGGGGTGACGAGACGTCGGCTTTGTCAACATCAGGCGTTGTCGCCTTGCGCACACCAACTGTGGTACCAACCTGCTCCAGTCCGAGGTTGAGTTGGAAGCCAACATGGTTTTCTCAATCCGCTGGTCCGAGCATTGCCAAGCAGCACTTTCAAGCATACTAGAAGCTAAAAATCTGACGAGGTAAAAGTCAGAGGAGCGTTCCCTCACGTGGGCTTGAAAGTTTCGTAGTGGTCAATGCTACCTATGGAAGCACCGCGTTTCCCACTCGACTATTGGCGGGCCGATGCCCGCGTCCTTTCTACATCCTCGTTCGTTTTCCTCGCCCTTCTCGCCGCGGCGACATGTGCGGCAGCAACCGCCGTGGGGGTGGACGGGGCCCACGTCACGCGTCAGCACCTGCGAAGCATGTCGTGGCAGCAGCGCCAGGCGCTGGCGTGGGCGTGCGCGCGCTCCTCCTCAGCGGCGGGTCATCATGAAGCCGCGGGCGCGCGAAGCGGCAGGCGGCCGTGGTATGCGGGCGTGGCGATGGAAGGGCGGCGGCGGTTGAGCGGCGGGCAGAGGGAGGCGTTTGAGCGGCGCATGCAGGCAGTGCTGGCGGCCATGATGGCGCGCCCACGGACGCGGACAGGCGGGGCGGCGGGGAGAGTGACAGAGGAGGACGGGGGAGAACAAGAGTCGGGAGGAGGGCGGAGAGGCATGGAGTCCGTGGAGATTTTGGGGGCGCGGCTGAGAGGGAGCGAGCATGGGGGGGGAAGACGTAGCGGAGGAGCGGCGGGGGATAGTGGGGATTGGGAGAGGCGGTACAATGTGGGGCAGGTATGTGCTGAGCTGGATGCAAGCCAGTCGCCCAGCACTGTGGCGGCAGAGCCAGTGCGGGGCTTTGTGGCGGCGCAGCAGCGCATGGAGGCCGTAGTGAGGGATGGGGGGGGCAGTGATGGGTGGGCGCGGGAGAAGGCGGCACTGGTTGAGTTCCGGGCAGCGCTAACGCCAGCATCACAGCAAGTGCTGAAAGAATGGTCGCTCACCTCCACGGTGCCCATGTGCCGCTGGACTGGGGTTGTGTGCTCCCATGAGATGGGCCAACCGGGTGCTGCTAACGCCACCGCCGTTGCTGCTGCCGCTGACAGCAGTGTGAGGCGCACCCCCGACGCCGTGGTGGGGGTGGTGCTCTCCCAGCTGGGCCTACAAGGCACCATCTCCTCGTCCCTCGCGTCCCTCCCGTCCCTGCAGTACCTGGTGCTCTCAGAGAACGAGCTATCCTCCTCCATCCCCTCGTCCCTCGTGCTCCTCCCCGCCCTCACCCTCCTGGACCTCTCCATCAACAGGCTGTCCGGCACCATCCCCTCGTCACTCTCCCGTCTCTCCGCCTTGGTCTCTCTCATGCTCTCCGGCAACCAGCTCTCCGGCTCCATCCCCGCCACCCTGGGCGCCTTGCCATCCCTGCGCTACCTCTACCTCGGGGACAACTCCCTCTCCTCCTCCATCCCCGCCTCCCTGGGTCGCCTCTCTTCGCTGTCCGAGCTGGCCCTGGGCACCAACAGGCTGTCGGGCAGTGTGCCGCTGGTGCTGTCGTCGCTCACCGCGCTCGTTATCCTCGACATCGTCACCAACCGCCTCGCAGGGCCCCTCCCCTCGCGCGTCTTCTCCGCCTGGTGCCCTGCCGCCTTCACCATCGAAATCACTGGAAACGCCTTTTCTGGCCACCTTCCCGACTTTTCGGCATGCACGGGGCTCGTATGGCTGGATGCAGGGATGAACGCGTTCAGCGGCAGCATCCCCTCGTCTGTGAGCCGCATGGCGTCGCTGGAAGCCCTCATCCTCCTCAACAATTCTCTCTCAGCCTCGCTGCCCCTGGCCCTCGCCTCCCTGCCTGCCCTGGGCCAGCTGGACCTCTCCAGAAATAACCTCTCTGGGCGCATCCCCCCTTTCTGCGCCTCTCCCAAGCACGCAAGCCTGCGCAGTCTCCGCTTGAGTGGCAATCAGATGAGCGGGGCTGTGCCGGCGTCACTAGGCAGGTGTGGGGGGCTGGAGAACCTCTTTCTGGACGACAACCGCCTGTCGGGCTCCCTCCCTGCCACCTTCCGCATGCTGCGCCGCCTTAGGCTGGTCCGCCTGGAGCGCAACCGACTGTGGGGCCCACTGCCGTTGGCGCGGCTGGAGAACATCACGGAGATATGGCTGGACGGCAACGCGCTGTCGGGGCCCATACCACTGGACCTCAGCTCTGCTGAGCGCCGCTTCATCTACTTCTCCGCCCCGCACAACCGCTTCAGCGGCGCACTGCCTGCGTCGCTGGGGCAGCTGGTGATGCTGGACCTGTCATTCAATCGGGTGAGCGGCCCCATCCCGCCCGCCTTCATGGCCGCCACCGCCAACCTCTCCGTGCTGCTGCTCCCCGGCAACCGCCTCTCCGGATCCATCCCCGCTCAAATCACGTCGCTCACCGCGCTGAAGCTGGTGGACCTCAGCCGCAACGCACTGCACGGCGCCCTCCCGGCGAACCTAGCTGTGCTCTCGCTCCTGCAAGAGCTGTCCGTGGACAGCAACAACCTCACAGGCGCCATCCCACCAGACATCGCCCAGCTGCCTGGGCTCATGCGCCTGGACCTCAGCAACAACCGCCTATCAGGAACAATCCCTCAGTTTCTTGGAGCGGCCACTGCTGGTGTCCCCAGTGCTGGCAGGGCAGGGAGTGCGAGTGTGGCGCACCTGCTGCTGGGAGGCAACGAGCTGTCAGGATCCATCCCTGACACCCTTTCTACCGTCAGCCACCTCCTCACTCTCAACCTCTCTGCCAACCATCTATCTGGCTCACTGCCCTCGGGCCTGGCGGCACTGCAGCAGCTGACTGTGCTGGACGTCTCCATCAACGCCCTCTCAGGCTCCATCCCATCCGCCCTCTCCTCCCTATCCTCCCTGCAATCTCTCAATCTCTCCTCCAACTTGCTTTCCGGCCCAATTCCTGCCGGACCCCTTCCGTCTTTCCCCCTTGCATCCTATGCCAACAACTCAGCCCTCTGTGGGGTTCCCATCAGTGCCTCCTGCTCCGTGCCTCCGCCCCCCACCCTCCTTGCTCCGGGTGCATCTGCCGGCCTGCCAGCGGCTGCAGTGGCAGGCATAGTGGCAGCGAGTGTGTGCGTGCTTGCGGCAGTGGCAGCAGCAGTGTGTGCAGTGGGGAGGAGGAGGGAGGAGAAGAGGAGGAGGAAGAGGCTGAACGGGTACTTGCTGCTTGTGAAGCAGGCGCCTGTAAGAGTGACGGTGGAAGGGATAGTGGCGGGCACCAGGAACTTCAGCGACAGCATGCTGCTGGGGAAGGGCGGCTTTGGCAGTGTGTACAAGTAAGAGTGGGGGGCAGGGCTCCACGCATTTGTGCTGCATTCCAGAGAATAGGGCCTTGAATTTCAACTGTGCTGCTAATTGGTGGTATCTGCAACCACAGCATGCCTAAAGTGATTGAGCTTCCCACTGAACTTATCGTCCATTCACTCATCTCCCCCCTTCCCCCCCTCCCCCCGGTCTGCTGTGTAACACCAGGTGCAGTGTGCCTGGCACGCAGTGCACTCTGGCCATCAAGAGGCTCCATGCTGCCTCGCTGCCCCTGCCTCTCTCTGCCTCCCCCTCCACCACGCCCATGGGCAAGGGCGGCAAAGGGGACAAGGGGGGGAAGGGGGGTTCAGGGGAGGAGGCGAGGGAGGCTGCGGAGCAGCAGGCAAACAGGGAGGTGCAGGCGGAGGTGCGGACGCTGGGGCAGCTGGAGCACCAGAACCTGGTGCGGCTGTACGGGGCGTATGTGAATGTGGCGGCAGGAGACAGGTGGCTCATCTACGAGTACGTTGCTGGGGGCAGCTTGGAGGACTTGCTTAGGAGGAGGAGGGAGGTTCCACCTGGCGAAGGTTTCAACAAATGGGAGGCGAGGTTAAGCATTGCGATGGGGTTGACGAAGGCACTCAAGTATCTGCACCACGAGTGCTCGCCATACATCATTCACCGCGACATCAAGCCCTCCAACATCCTTGTGGTGGTGGACGCAAGGGGAGCTGACGGCGGGCTAGAGGGTAGGAGTAGCGAGGGCAGCACAGTGGCGAGTGGGTCGGGAACAGGGAGCATTAGTGGTTCAGGGGTGGGCACTGGATCTGGTAGTGGGACTGCAAGTGGCAGTGGAGTGGGGAATGACAGTGTCAAAGAAATGGCCAAAGGTGCAAGTGAAACTGACAGTAACAGTGGTAGTGGTGGTGTTGCTGTGAACACTGGTGATCGCAGCAGGGGCGCTTGCAGCAGCATTGACAGTGCCCCTGGTAACAAGCATGCAACAAGAGCCGAAGCTCTCTCAGCCACTTCCAATGGTTCCACCAACTCTGCTGTCCCCTCCGCCCTCCTACGCCTCTTTCCACCCTCCAAGTCCCAACAGCCTCCCTATGATACCTTTTCCGCTTCTCATCTGCCACACCACGAGTCCTTCACTCCCCATCCTCTCTCATCTCAGGCATCTTCCCATCCACTCCGCTCCCCCTCCCATCATCTTCCTGCCAGTGCACCCGCACTTCCCTCATCCCATCCCTCATCCCTCACCCTTTCCTCTGTGTCCCTGCCTGCTGCCCAACCCACCTTCACGGTGCGAGTGGCGGACTTTGGCCTGGCACGGCAGGTGGACGTGCGGGCGTCACACATGTCCACGGCGGTGCTGGGCACGTACGGGTACATGGCCCCGGAGTACGCGCAGCGCGGGAGGGTCACCACGGCCACCGACGTTTTTGCTTTTGGCGTGGTACTGCTGCAGCTGGTGTCTGGGCGGTCACCGTACGACGAGGAGGTGGAGGACAGGGGCCTGGCCAGGTGGGCCTTCTCCTCGCCTGTGTCTGCTGTGCTGGACCCGCTGCTGGGCCCCACTGCACCCACCAGGGCCGTAGAGGCCGTGCTGAGACTGGCGCTGCGATGCATGGCGGAACAGAGCCAGAAGCGGCCGTCCATGCTGGATGCATGGACGTACCTCACGAGTCTGCACGACGTGGTGGCACACATGCAAGCACAGGGTGGGGAGGGACTGGAGCTGTCACTAGAGCAGCAGAGCATGGCATGGGATTCTGGAGGGATCGGATCCGGGTCGACTTCTGTACTGCCTGGGAGCAGAGCAGAGAAAGAGGAAGAGAAGGGCGAGGAAGTCAGTGAATTGCCAGTGAATGAGACAGGGTGAAGTTGTAATAAGAAAACTCAGGACAGCACTACTAGTCTGACCACTGAGATAAGAGGCCACAAGGCCAGTCAGCAAGTGTAGCAAGACAAGCCGGCATAGAACAACAAGTACAAGCACGTATAGTATGACTCAGAATACAAGAAGTGGTGTTGCTACTGAGGCTAGTCCAAGCTGAGTACAGAACCGCTGATGGTCACGAGGCGCAAGTGCCTTGGTGAATATATCAGCGGTGTTGGCCTTTTAGGCCAACTGTACTACACGAACTTCACCGTGCTGTTGCAACTCACGCAGCAGGAAGTACCGCAGCTGGATGTGCTTCTCCCTGCCCTCAATTCGAGTCTCCTGACACAGGAGGATCATGGCCTTCTTGTCAACCAACAGGACCGGGCCAGACCTAGGCTGCTTACCTAAGTCAGTGAGCAAGAACGACAACCAGCAGAGCTCCTAAGCAGCCATGGTCCTAGCGTAGAACTATGCCTCACAACTGGAATGAGCTACAGATGACGACCTGATAGACCTCCACGAGACTGCACCAGCACCAAGACTAAAGCAGTAGCCCTGAGACGACCTGGGCGTCTCCAACAGGCCTGTCGTTATCAGGGTATTTTTTTGGCCAACCCTTAATTTTCAAGGTTGGGCTTTTTTGAACCCTAACCTCTTCAGGGTTGTATGTCTGTGAACACTGAGAATTTCAGGGTTTGCGTTATCCCAACACTGAGTTTTCAGGGAGTAACGCGTACGAACCCTGAGTGCGACATCCATGTGGCTCACAATGCGGAAATTTTGGCGAAGTCCCCAATCTCCAGAGACATTCCCCCCCACACGCAACAACCTACAAAAATTGGTGAAGTCCTCAAACATTCCCTCACACACCAAGCAACCCACAAAAATCGGCTAAGTCATGTGTCGTACAGACATCCCCCCTACACACTAACAACAACCCACAAAAATTAGCTAAGTCTATGAAAATGTAACGGTCAAGATCGATTGCGATCGTTTCGACATACTTAAACCGTTAGATGGTCACGTTGATCAACGTCTAAGATCTCCCAGCCGGGGCGCTGCTAGGGCGCGAATTTTCTCCGACCGCCCTATTACCCAGCTTCCCCCCTCCAATCCACTTCGATTCCTCCCTCCCCTCCATTTTCGCTCCCCCCACTCCCCCTCCGTTTCGTTTCCCCCCTCCCCTCCATTTCGATTCCCCCATCTCCCCTCCGTTTCGCCCCTCGCATCTTGGTTTTGATTCCCTCCCCCTTTCTTCCCTGGTTTCGACTCCCCCTCCCCTCCGTTTCGATCCCCCCTTCCCCTCCGTTTCGATCCCCCTTCCCCTCCGTTTCGATCCCCCCTTCCCCTCCGTTTCGATCCCCCCTTCCCCTCCGTTTCGATCCCCCTTCCCCTCCGTTTCGATCTCCCCTTCCCCTCCGTTTCGATCCCCCCTTCCCCTCCGTTTTGATCCCCCCTTCCCCTCCGTTTCGATCCCCCCTTCCCCTCCGTTTCGCTTCTCCCATTCCTCGACTGTATTTCGAACTTCCCCCACCCCCCAACCCCCACTTTTTCCCTCCCCGTTTCGCTTCTTCTCTTCCCCTATGTTTCCATCCTCCCCCTTCCCCTCTGTTTCGCTCTCCCCCTCCCCTCGGTTTGATTCCCTCCCCTTTTTCCCCCCATTTTTAATTCCCCCCTCGTGTTGAAGGCAACCCTGAACGCGCTCGGTGAACCCTGGGATTTTCAGGGTTCCAGATTTCTGAACCCTTACAAATCAGGGTAGGCAATTTTTGAAACCTGAGCCCTCAGGGTAAACGTTTTTTTTTATTCGACAGCTCAGGGGGGGTTTTTTTGAAACGTCAGCCCTGGTCTCCAAGTCGTCGGCCCACGACGCGTCTGTGTGTCCAGTAAACACCGCTGGATCCCGTCCTCCTAGCACAAGCCCCAGTCCTAATTTACTCGCCAGATACCGCAATACCCTCTTGGCAGCCGATCAGTGGGCTGGTCGGTACCTGCCTATTGCGACAAAGTGAGCTAAGAGACTGAGAGGGTACGCTAGATCTTGTCGAGTGCAGGTCTTCACATATATGAGGCACCCCACCAGCTCTACGTATGGACCACTAGCCTCGACCGGCTCAATCGGAACAGGAGCAGAGGGCTTGTGATCCACAGGTAGAGGGATGGGCTGTGCTAAGGAGAATTGAAGATGGAACCTTTGGAGAATCTACTGCACTATATGGGATTGCGAGAGTGTGATCGTGTGAGCGGCGCGGTTACGAGAGATCTCCAAGCACAGATAGCGCCCCAGCTCCCCCAAGTATGTACAGGTGTGTCTTCTAAGCAACTCGGCCTTCGCTCAGGCCAGTGCCATTCTGTCAGGAGTAGCAAAGACAAGATCGTCTACGTACACTAGAATGTAGAACGGTGTCTGACCCGTGCGAACAAGGAGAGGGGTCAGCAGAGGAAGGAATGAACTGCGACTCAACAAGAGTGGTGCGAAGCGTGTCGTGCCACTTACGGGGTGCCTGACGAAGGCTGTAGACACGACGGTGCAGGCTCCACTCAGTCCCAGGTGGGAAGGAGCCATAAAAGCCTAGAGGGCGCCGGAGGTAGATATGCTCCTGCAGACTACCCTGTAGGAACGATGTAGATAAATCGAGTGAGTGAAGCTCGTAGTCACGCTGCGCGGCTATGTGAAGAAGGACCCGAAGTGTAGTCATCTTCGGGGTCGGGTAGAAGGTCTGGAAGAAGTCCATGTCAAACATGTGTATCACATATATTTGCATAGACTGTATAGGGCCACCTCTTAGAGGGCACAACACTTAGGTATATTCACCTGTACTCTTTCTCTGCTCATCATTCAGTTTCTCACTTTGATATAGTATCACGCGTAGGTTAGGATCCCCCACCTACCGTTTCCGCCCGTACCCTAGCTAGGCCCCGCCGCTTCCCCCTGGGCCCCGTCGTGCCTCCTAGCCCCGTCGCGCCCCTCCTGGGCCCTGCCGCACCTCCTGGCCCCGTCGCGCCCCCCTAGCCCCGTCGCGCCCCTCCTGGGCCCCGTCGCGCCCCCCTGGCCCCGTCGCGCCCCCCTGGCCCCGTCGCGACCCCTAGCCCCGTCGCGCCCCTCCTGCGCCCCGTCGCGCCCCCCTGGCCCCGTCGCGACCCCCTCGCCCCGTCGCGCCCCCCCTGGCCCCGTCGTCACCCGCTAGCCCAGTCGCGCCCCTCCTAGGCCTCGTCGCGCCCCCCTGACCCCGACACGCCCCTCCTGGGCCCCGTCACGCCTTTTAGCCCCGTCGCGCCCTGCCTTGCCCCGTCGCGGGTTCAGGGTTTAGGGTTACAGGTTTAAGGGTTCGGGGTTTCAGGGTTCGGGGTTTCAGGGTTCGGGGTTTCAGGGTTCGGGGTTTCAGGGTTCGGGGTTTCAGGGTTCGGGGTTTCAGGGTTCGGGGTTTCAGGGTTCGGGGTTTCAGGGTTCGGGGTTTCAGGGTTCGGGGTTTCAGGGTTCGGGGTTTCAGGGTTCGGGGTTTCAGGGTTCGGGTTCAGGGTTCGGGGTTTCAGGGTTCGGGGTTTCAGGGTTCGGGGTTTCAGGGTTCGGGGTTTCAGGGTTCGGGGTTTCAGGGTTCGGGGTTTCAGGGTTCGGGGTTTCAGGGTTCGGGGTTTCAGGGTTCGGGGTTTCAGGGTTCGGGGTTTCAGGGTTCGGGGTTTTCAGGGTTCGGGGTTTCAGGGTTCGGGGTTTCAGGGTTCGGGGTTTCAGGGTTCGGGGTTTCAGGGTTCGGGGTTTCAGGGTTCGGGGTTTCAGGGTTCGGGGTTTCAGGGTTCGGGGTTTCAGGGTTCGGGGTTTCAGGGTTCGGGGTTTCAGGGTTCGGGGGTTTCAGGGTTCGGGGTTTCAGGGTTTCGGGGTTTCAGGGTTCGGGGTTTCAGGGTTCCGGGGGGTTTCAGGGTTCGGGGTTTCAGGGTTCGGGGTTTCAGGGTTCGGGGTTTCAGGGTTTCGGGGTTTCAGGGTTCGGGGTTTCAGGGTTCGGGGTTTCAGGGTTCGGGGGTTTCAGGGTTCGGGGTTTCAGGGTTCGGGGTTTCAGGGTTCGGGGTTTCAGGGTTCGGGGTTTCAGGGTTCGGGGTTTCAGGGTTCGGGGTTTCAGGGTTCGGGGTTTCAGGGTTCGGGGTTTCAGGGTTCGGGGTTTCAGGGTTCGGGGTTTCAGGGTTCGGGGTTTCAGGGTTCGGGGTTTCAGGGTTCGGGGTTTCAGGGTTCGGGGTTTCAGGGTTCGGGGTTTCAGGGTTCGGGGTTTCAGGGTTCGGGGTTTCAGGGTTCGGGGTTTCAGGGTTCGGGGTTTCAGGGTCGGGGTTTCAGGTTCGGGGTTTCAGGGTTCGGGGTTTCAGGGTTCGGGGTTTCAGGGTTCGGGGTTTCAGGGTTCGGGGTTTCAGGGTTCGGGGTTTCAGGGTTCGGGGTTTCAGGGTTCGGGGTGGTTTTCAGGGGTTCGGGGGTTTCAGGGTTCGGGGTTTCCCAGGGGTTCGGGGGTTTCAGGGTTCGGGGTTCAGGGTTCGGGGTTTCAGGGTTCGGGGGTTCTTTCAGGGTTCGGGGTTTCAGGGTTCGGGGTTTCAGGGTTCGGGGTTTCAGGGTTCGGGGTTTCAGGTTCGGGGTTTCAGGGTTCGGGGTTTCAGGGTTCGGGGTTTCAGGGTTCGGGGTTTCAGGGTTCGGGGTTTCAGGGTTCGGGGTTTCAGGGGGGGTTAGGTTCGGGGTTTCAGGGTTCGGGGTTTCAGGTCGGGGTTCGGGTTCTCAGGGTTCGGGGTTTCAGGGTTCGGGGTTTCAGGGTTCGGGGTTTCAGGGTTCGGGGGTTTCAGGGTTCGGGGTTTCAGGGTTCGGGGTTTCAGGGTTCGGGGTTTCAGGGTTCGGGGTTTCAGGGTTCGGGGTTTCAGGGTTCGGGGTTTCAGGGTTCGGGGTTTCAGGGTTCGGGGTTTCCAGGGTTCGGGGTTTCAGGGTTCGGGGTTTCAGGGTTCGGGGTTTCAGGGTTCGGGGTTTCAGGGTTCGGGGTTTCAGGGTTCGGGTTTTCAGGGTTCGGGGTTTCAGGGTTCGGGGTTTCAGGGTTTCGGGGTTTCAGGGTTCGGGGTTTCAGGGTTCGGGGTTTCAGGGTTCGGGTTTCAGGGTTCGGGGTTTCAGGGTTCGGGGTTTCAGGGTTCGG